AAGTGACCACATCTTCATTAGACATATTTCCATTCAAAAGTTAAGGAGGCAAATTTATTCCAGATATGGTACAACCTTCCTCTCTTACTGCACATAACCCAAAAGGCCTTTTTTGGCCAGGTGTTTTAAAAATACTCATCTGCTATAGAGAAATGAATAAAAAAGTCTTGGTGTTTTTTATCAGTGTCATTAAGTGAAACTTGCCATAATTTACATTTGTAAAGTTGGGTTAAGCAATAATTTACATAACAAGAAAAGAACTGAATATGAAAGCTTGTGGCAAAAATGTGTTAGATCTCCTCTTTTAATGTAGAAAAAGTGATTAATGAAATTGTATTTAGGTATTTAAAACAATGTACAACCACATTAAGTAACTTTGAATCCGATTCAAAAAGTTTAGGTTTTCTGAAGTTATATAGCTGTTTGTATTTTTTGAAACAGGATTATGTCAAATAATTAAGCTGTCGTGCTGCGATTAAGAGAAATAATGCTAATCATATTGCTCTATTGTTTGACATAATAAGATTTATTTTCCTTTGTGACTGAACATCAAATCTTTAGAAGAAAATCTGATAAATGACAAAAAATAATATATTTATTTGTTGCTTCTGTTCTGCAACAGATATAGGCTTGTGTGTGTAGGTGGGGGGGGCATCAACATTTGTTCCCCTGCATGCTTCGAGTTCAGCAAATGAGTTGAACCAAGCTTCTCGGGCAGACTTCTCTGTCTACCCCAACCTCTAACAACTCATGAAATATTTACAGTGCCTCGCAGTAACCTCTCACTCACATCCACTCTCTCTCTCTCACACACACATATTTTTCTTTCTGTCATTCTAGCTGATAGTCAAGGGATGTAAACGTAAATGTCCGCTTAAGCCTTGCTTTATTTCGAGGGAGCATGTGAAGTTCACCTCGCAACCCTCCCCCCTTCACGGACGCGTTCGCGGACTACTCATAGATGAACTTTTGTTCAAGTTTATTGAGTATTTCATGGACCTAGCCCATTGTATTCCGGCTGAATGTATACAGAGGTAGTTGGGTGCAAACTTGACACCCGGCTGATCGGCAGCTGCCGGCTGTTTAATCAACAGTGATGAATATTTGATGGCGTGGCGGTGGGCAAATGGTGGCCGACACTCTCCTCATTATCAAAGTCCGTGTCTACCGAGGAAGATATTGAATATCTCTCCGTTGTGGACCTAGCCCCTGTCAGGAATATGGAGCGCCTCTACGTTTCCCCCAACACGAAAGTCTAGACATCGAAAAAAGGAAAAGATAGTTTGCAACAACAACAAAAAAAAAAAGCGATTGTTTGGCTTATATCAACTTTTTTTTAACTTTACCATTGATTTCTATTTAAAAAGGTAAAGATTGGAGTTAATAAAAACGTTAAAGTTAATAAAAACAAGCTAACGAAATGTTAATCATGTGAAATAAACTCAGCACCATGGACAGCGACATGAGAACCTCGTCCATACACGACCCAAATCACTACAATGTTAGGCTTATTCAATATTCATTATGTAAGAGAAGAGAAGAGAAGAGAAGAGAAGAGAAGAGAAGAGAAGAGAAGAGAAGAGAAGAGAAGAGAAGAGAAGAAAAGAGAAGAGAAGAGAAGAGAAGNAAGAGAAGAGAAGAGAAGAGAAGAGAGGAGAAGAGAAGAGAAGAGAAGAGAAGAGAAGAGAAGAGAAGAGAAGAGAAGAGAAGAGAAGAGAAGAGAAGAGATTGTTGCAATGTAGAAATAAATAAGACTTTCTGCTTAGTATGAATTGGTATTGTTTTGAAGTATTATTGCACACACTTCCTGCAATAAATAGGTTAAGGTTGTGTCGCCAAGGTTAAATAATGCATGTGCAATGTTTGTGCGGGGTGTTACTCTTCTTTCTGAAACACACTGTATTCAGGTTCCTGTCTAACATTTTAGGAAATAGTTTATTTTAGTATTTATAATAAATTAGTAGATTTATTGTAAATAAGATTTAAAAAAAAATAAAAAATCTGTTAATTTACAACCAACAGTTCGCCTTGGCTTTCTTGGGTTACCTAGATGACGCACACGATTGATGTCCTTATATGGCATTTTTCTTGTTACGTTTCCGGTCCGCTCACCAATCTTGCTTTGTCGCGCGCCTGCCTTCTGATGCACGTGCAGCTAATGACAAGAGGGAGCAGAGTTCAGAGAGCACTCCGCCCGGGGCCGCGGCGGCTCTTTGAAGGCTGAGATTGGGAAATAAGTGACATTTAGGGAGTGAGGAAGGTTTAGCATAAAGTGACATTTAGGTGGCGGTACTTGGTTTCAGAACGTGGTGAAACACGACGATCACGTGAAGACACTGACAAGTGTTTTGATGTTTTAGTGTCGCACTTTATCAGTTCAGTTGTCAAGCGGTGAGTTCAAGCAACTGTGTCGAGGTTAAACTGTGTATATTTCCAGCTTCATATTTGTATGTTTTTTATTTCGTTTTAACCCAAACTTTGCATACGACATCCTAAAAGGGCTCAGTGTATATTTGCGACATATAATATATTCCCTATAGGTGGAAATGATCTGCTGTAAGAATGGGTGACTTTCTTTATGGTTTTCTAATATGGTGACCAATATTTCCCCAGTTTAAAAAGGCTAGTTTATCCTGAGATAGTGGTCGATTAACTTTTAACTATTTGTTTTTTATGTCTTTTCCGGCTCTTATATAGAGGTATTTTGTCTATAAAAATTTTAGAGTTTTTTATGAAACTGAAAAATAAAATTCCAAAAAGAATTCAAATGAAAATCCTTTGTTTTCTTTTTAAATGATCATTTATGAACATTTGAGGTATTTTACAGTGTACAATATCATAAATATTATTATTTATTTAAAAAAAATTGTGCTTATAAAGTGCCTATTGATGTTTTTTTCTGTGAAGAAATCAGTTATGAAATTTAATTAACCTACAAGTAGTAGTTCATTTTTTTTTTTTTTTTTCATTTCAACAACCACCTAATATGCAGGCCTGACATAAAATGTCCACTTCATATTTGTGTCTACACCAAATTAATGTCTAATTATGAACCCACGCAGCTTTAACTGTTGGTATTTTGGATATATGATTTAAATTCTTCTATTCCACTTTTTGTCCTTTCATCTAACATTTTGGCCACCTGGTTTGCTCCAGGCGAATATGAATTCAAATTGTCTTTTTTTTTTTTTGCTATGCAGGCGACCTGCATATCCTTGATGCATCCATATCCATTTCTATCTGTTATTCGTTACATGGAAAGGGTCATCCCCTCAAGATCAAATATTTTTCTAACTAAATGACGGATTTATTAGACAAATAACTTGTGCGTCTAACTCTGAACCCTCTGTGATTGAAATATACCCTTGTGTCAACAGCACCGCTTCTCAAACCGGGTCCCCGGCGATGGGGGGCTGCCACGGCGGATTACTGAGCAAATATGAGTGGGAAATGAGTGCAGATCTGGGGATCTACCCATCCACATCCCAGGTTTGACATTTCCGTCCAAAGGCCAACCTCCGTGCGCATTGTTAGATCAAGGGAGCCATCTGTGGCTGCTCTTTTTATTATTTATTTTTGACAAAAATTCATAAGTGGGCCTAGAATAATATCAAAACAAACACAAAAAATGAGACACGATTAAACAAAGAACACAACCGACGTCATTTTCATAGCTTTTTTTTCTCTATCTTCTACGTGTCAACGTGTAATTATAATGATCTAATCCATCTTAACCTGGGTGCCTAACAGCTGCGATTAGAGTAGGCCCAATTTCTTCCGCTCAGAGCTATAGTAAAAACTCGTATGCTCGTAAATCTAAGCTTCCCGCGTAACCATAACGTGGTGAAATCATAATTTGCCGAGGTGGTGTCAGAGACTCGCTCATTTCGTCTGTCAGGAATCCAATTTCCTTTTATTTACATCCGCGGTATAGATTAATTACTCCCCTGACTAGTAGCCTGCAGGAATTAAGTTATGGGATCCTTTGGAAGGTTCTGCGATTAATCCATCACAACCTACGCAAGGATGCAAAGGTGGAAGAAGAGGTGATTAATGCTGGAGAGAGATGCACCTATTTGGTAGTAATAATGATAATAATAATCTTAATAATAATAATAATAATAATAATAATAATAATAATAATAATAATAATAATAATAATAATAATAATGAATCAGTGTTTTATGAGTGGTGATAAATGTATGATGTAGTTTTGGATGTGAACACACCCAAAGCATCACGGGAAATAACTTGGTGGGGAGGGTTTTAAAAGGACCAAAGCGACCGAGACGTATAGAAGTGGGAAGGCCTTTTTTTAGGCCTCTGTATCATGAATACCTGCGATCAGGTGATGATCCGGCACAGTATTGATGGAGCTTTAAGGGTTATGATATCGGGGAAGTCATCGATGAAATATCCCCAACTGATTAATAGAGGGCTCTGTCGTAACGGCTTGACATATGGTAGGCGAGGCAGCTGGGGACGGTACCTCAGGCATCCCCTACGGCCATTAACATATTAGAGGCTATTGTGAAGGCAGACAGTCCGACTTCATCCACAGCCCCTTGTGCAGAGAGACAGCACCCCAGAGCTGTTTGATATAGGCTTTCAATAATGCATTACTCTTCAATCCGCCAGCGGAGCTGTTCGAGGTGCTGAAATGATGTGCCATGTGGCGTGTGCTGTGCTAGAGAGTGTTCGGTGCCAGCGGCTGGTTTTTTATATATATATATATATATATATATATATATATATATATATATATATATATATA